AAGAGATCAGGCATGGCTGGATGAGAGCATCACGAGTGCCATCAACAAAGAGGCCAGGGCACTGAGATTTCCAGTGATTTAGCATCCTGGCTGGGAGGGGTCATGTGTTCTATAGTGAGTTCTGAGTATCCTGCACCGCCCTCGAGGACCTACAGGGGGCGCGCGAAGCCAGCGTGTCTTAGGTAGCGGTGCGCATGCGCAGTCCGCGTCAGCAGCCAGCGTCTTCCCTGGGGGCAGAGCTTGTTTTCCTCAGGACGGAGCGGGGGCAGCCATGGCGGCTCCGGGGCCGCGCGGCTCGCGTGTCCGCGGGAGGAGGACGCTCCCCGCCGGGTGTCTGAAGTTATGCCAGTTTCCCGCGGCCTGAGCTGGCTTCCTATCGGGGTGTGTGTGGACCTGACCGAGCTGGGGCCCCGGCCGGCAGAGCAGGAGGGGACGGGTGCGCTGGCGGGCCCGCTTCGACTATTCTCCTCGCCCGCTGGGAGCGGGTGATTGTCCGTGTCCGTCCGGGCCGCGGGGGTGTCCGCGCCCCTGGTCCTCGCCGCCCGGGTCCCCCCTCCCCAGCGTGATCGGAGGTGTGTACAGCGCGGTTCAGGATCGGGGATGCGGGTGTAATGAGAAAGGGGCTGAGAAAGTACTGAAAGAGTTAAAGAGAAGTGTGTAAAAACACATTACGTTAACGTGTATATTTTAAGTGTGTCGAAGTAAGAGTTTATTATGCTTTTACTTTCCTTTCTTTAAAGGAATGCAATCATTTATTTTATACTTACAATATGCTTCTCAGCTTATCTCATTTTCAAGTCAGAATACTCCCACGGCTGACATTTTCTCAAAATATAGTGACAATCTTAAATATGTGTAAATATAAACTCATTGAAAAAACCTTGCAGCATTCCAGGGTGAGTAGTCTTGTTAAAAATAATATCCAGGCCACTACCAAATTATTACAAAAATATAATTAAAAAATTTTTGAATCACTTTCAGAAGCTCCAGACACAGTGGTATTTTAAAAACACCAACCACTGCATAGTGCTTAAGACCATTTAAGATGAAATATATTCAAACCTAAACCTTCAGAATACTGAAAAGGCAGGACAATGGCTGCTTTTTCATTGCAAATACATTTTCTCTTCATAAGTGCAAAATACAAAGATATTCAGCTTAATGTATATCTTTATTCAAAAGGTGACATTAGACTATAATCTCCTTATTTTTTATTTTAAGCCTATTTCCCATAAAAATTGGTATTTTTATCTGTAGGATCTTAATTGTCCATTCGTTTTTTCCTT